GGCGATGATGAAAAAGGCAGCGGAGGCGCAATGCCGCGAGAAGGAACAAGGAGCGAATTAGCAGAAATGTGGAGACTCTTGGGGGGCATCTAGGGCCGCCTTGGTGCTCTCTTGGGGTGCTTCTTGGGCCGTCAAGGGCCCTTTTGGGGGCCGTCCTGGGGCCCTCTTAGGGGGCAGCTGGGGCTCCCTGGGGGCCTCTTGGAAGCCTCTTGGGGCTTGGCTGGCGGGGTTGGCGTCTGAAATGCTGCTTCTGGGGCTCGCTTGGAGGCGTCTTGGGCCCTCTCGCGGGTCCTCTTGGGCCGTGGAAGCGCCCTCTGGGGCCGTCTTGGGGCTCTCCGGGTGGTCACTTCGGCCGTTTGGCGGCCGCCTCCGGGCGTCTTGAGACGCCGGGAGCTACGAAAAGCGAGGATGCTTAAGTCTTGTAATCTGTCTAAGCCCAAGGATGTCTCAGGCCAAACCCCAGTTTGAGGATCAAACGAGCGTGCCCAGCTTTGGAGGATGTCTCGAGCGAAACGCTTGTCTGTGTAAAGGGCGATGTTGCGAACAGCTCATTTATGTGAGGATGTCTACAGCGAAATTCTAAAACAATCATCCGCCACGGCTCAATCTCTTGCTCCCCGAAACGTGATGTACGGTAGTATGCTTCAAATATGCATCACATGTTCAACTCGCGTCTCGTTCCTCGAAGACGCTACCCGTCATCAAGCAAGTCTCCCCCCTTGCAATCGGCCACGGTAAATCATTAAAGACTCAGACATGCTACAGATTCAGCCAGGACGCCCAATTCGGTTCTCGTTTCTCGAAGACGCTTCCCGTCATCCGCCAGCGAGGTCCACAATGCAATCCGAACACTTGATCACCAAATGCAAGCGGTCCACGCCAGGGGCGCTTCCCGTCATCCGCCACCGTGCGCCCATCGGGCGACGAGGAGTGGTAGAATACCAAGTAATGCTGGCAGCGTTTCTGGCAGTATTGTGGGACCCCCCATTCTCCACACGCTCAGCTGCGTGCACTGGACCTCCCGCGTCGGCGGTCGCTGGTCGCAGCAGCGACGGTAAAACAGAGAGGGAATCCAGGAGCACACTGAGCTCTCAAAACTGTGAGAGGCCAGCATCGAGGACGACGAGCATGAAGACCAGGTGCAGGGCGCCAACCATTCACTATTAGAACGATTGGCAGCATGGCAGAAGTCGCAGTCGCGCTCGGAACGTGTGAAGTGTGATACAGTAAGCACATACGGTAAGACAGGTTTCGATAGGACATCCGGGGGCGCATCCGTCGTCGACTCCGAGATTGGTGAGGTGCCCCAGGGGGCTCTCCAGGCCCGTCGGGGTGTCAGGCACTCTCATGGGGCAGCCGTCGGCAGGCGAGTCTCTTACTCGGCGTGCTTACTGTACTCGCACAAGGGACCTGGGACGACTTCGGAAGTAGATGGATGCAGCCGCGCACGTGCGGCAGGGAGCTCGCCGAGAAGGGCTGTGCAGCCGCCCCCGAAAGGGGGAGGGCCTCACCAAGCTCAGGCTGGCATTTGCCTAACGTTTGAGCTTAGAACTGGTTGGGCCGCAAATCGGCCAGGAACAGACTGCCTCCAGCAGGCCGCCGTGAATCAACAACGGAGGGAAAGGAGGAGCAGGAGAAGACATGGCCGTCTCGGGGCCCTCTCGGGACCCCGGTGGGCCCTCCTGAAGATCCTTTGGGCCCGCGGAGGGCCCTCGCCGCACCAGTTGTGGCAACACCTGCCCGCTGCCTCTCTTTGTGGCACGCCGCCTCCTCCGCTTCCCTGCCATCGCCCCCCCCCGCCCCCACCAAGCACCTCCTCCCCCGTCGAACCGCAAAAGGGCGACTGGTGTAGAACTCGCGGGGCGGGTATCTGCAGGAGTCCCACTGGGGCGTCCCCGAGAAGGATTTCCGCCCGCGTCCCAGCCGCGTCTCGTCGGCGGGCGTCTCTCTTCGCGACCACCGCGCCGGGGGGCGTTGGCCTGGGCCCGTGCCGTGGCCTGCCTGCTGAGGAGTCCCGACCGAGAAGCTCCCTCGGGATCCCTCGAGCTTCGTCAAGACTCGTGAGGGTTCCGCAGGGTCGCTTCGTTCACGGGCGAGGAGCGGTATAACATAAACCTGCTCGCTGTCGGGGGCCCCTGCCCCAGGGCGGCTGGAAAGCTTGTGCCCTTCCGGTGGCACGTCAGGGCAGAAACTCTCCAGGCGCCCCGGGGCAGCGCCCCCAGCGACGGAGAAGTGCACGCGATGCCGTTCTTCGCCCGCTAGCTCAAAAACCCTGAGGGCTCCTCGGGATTCCCTGGGATCCATGAAGCTTCCTCTGGGTTCCTCGGGACTCCGCATCATTCGTCCGGGTCCCCCCAGGGTTCCGCAGGTTTCTGCAGGTTTCCTCAGCGTTCCTCAGGGTCCAGTGTTCTTAGGTTCCCTCAAGGTTCTTCAAGAGTCCTCTGGATTCCTCCAAGGTTCCTCTGGATTCCTCCGCATATCAAGATTATGCCAGATTCCTCCGTATCCGCAGGATGCGTCAGGATTACTCAAAATATGTTTTGTCGGCTCTCGCCGCGAAAGAGAAACTTCACCTATGGGGCCGCGAAGCGCGCGAGGAGTCAACCCAAATTTGCCGGGGGGGGGGGGGTGCATGCTACACCGGACCTTCGGTACAGCTCCCTGCCGGACCACGAAGCGAGTGAGGGGCGTGCAGGAAGATCGGGGGGGGGTATACTGTGCGGCACCTTGCGCTGAGGCCGTCGGTGGGGCTCCATGTGGGGCCATGTAACGCGTGAGGGGTGTGCTGAAGTCTGCTGGGGCGCTATGCGCCACCACACCCCTGTGGAGCCTTCGGTGGAACTCCCTGTGGGGCCACGAAGCGTGTGCGGGGTGTGCCAAGATAGGCCGGGGGCCGCTGGTGGGACAGGTGGCGTTGTGCGACACCACGCCCTGCAAGGCCGTCGGTGGAGTCCCCTCGCCAGGGCCACGCAACGCGTGAGGAGTGCAAGGGGGGCTGGGGGGAGGCGCTGTTGCACCCTGCTCTGGTGGGCCTTCAAGGGAGCTCCTTGTGGCCAGGAAGCACGCGATGGGGCTGTGCCGACACGAACTCGGAGGCGCCATGCGGCACCACGCCCCCTTGGGGGCCTTCGGCGAGGCTCCCCGTGGGGCGACGTAGCGTGCGAGGGGTGTACCGAAATTGGCCACGATGGCGCCAAGATTGGCCAAGAGGGCAGCAAGAGAGGCCCGAGAAGGCCCCAAGACGGCCCCAAGAGCGCGCAGGAGCGCCCAAGAGCGCTCCAAGAGGGCCCAAGAGGCAATGTTCGAGGCTCTCGAGGGGCGCCGCCACCCAACTCTCGTAGGCATCTTTCTGGATGAGCTGGTGGGGATACTTTTTTTGATCTGCGGCCCAAAGGACGGTTCCAGAGGGCGGGTCAATCAGGCTGTCTGGGGCACAGGGCCAGATAATTTGCGAATCCAGCCGTCACTGTCGACAGCCGACCGCACCTGCAAGCATGCCGAACGGAATTCAAGGAGACGCATCTAAGCTGGTGGGGATAGGCGAAGCGTCAACCATTGCAATCACCGACTGCCCCGACAGGAGCTCACTGCCGCGGATCAGCGGGATCCGTTTGCTGTCCCTGGGACATAGACATCGTGAGCCAAAATGGCTATGGAGAGAGGAGACAGAGAGAGAGAGAAGAATATGCCGGGGCTGCCACTCAGCTGCCACAGAGACCGAGCCGGTGACTCAGCTGCCACAGAGACCGAGCCGGTGGCGAGGCCACACAATGAAGGGGGAAACTGGGGTCAGGGAAAGATGCACCAGCTCCTCCTTCTCCTCCTCCTCATCCTCGTCCTCGATTCCTTTTCCTCATAAATAACTTCTCTCTGTCGCACCCCGAGGCCAGTCTTTAGGGCAGGCCGGGCGTTTCGCCTGAGATTTCCTCACCAAAACATAACAACAGTTTCACAGATGGATGGCGGGCGGTTTAAAACATGTAGCTCTCGCCTTAGCGCCGCGCACATTCGTTCACACATGTTCAAGAGTCTCGTGGATTGAAGGCGGGTCGTTTTCTAAATGAGGCTCTCGCCTGAGCGCCACGCAAACTCGTATAAACAATTTGAAAGAGCTTCCGGGATTGAGGGCGGATGATTTGGGTTATTTTCGCAATGTCGCTCTCGAATTAGCGCCGCGCACATTCGTGCAAAATGTGGCTCTCGCCTGAGCGCCGCGCACATTCGTTTAAACAATTCGCAAGAAGTTCACAGATTGAGGGCGGGTGATTTTCAAAATGTGGCTCTCGCCTTTAGCGCCGCGCACATTCGTTTTAAACGGTTGCAATAGTTTCACGGATTGAGAGCGGTTCTTTTTCAAAATGTGGCTCTCGACAACGCGCCGCGTACATTCGTTTTAAACATTTGTAAGAGCTTTACGGATTATCAGCGTACAAGGAATGGTTCTTTGGAAGGGATTATGCGGGTGCATCAATGATGTTGATTCGCGGTGCATAACTCCCAGGAATGGCGTTCTGGTACGATTCCAGATCGTCAAGACGCAGCAGTCAGGTTGACCCGTGGCGTGGACATCCCTAGAACAATGTTTTGGCATGCTTCAAGGTCTTCTCACGGTTGTCTTCCATCGAATAAGCTTCCTCAATGGAAATGAACCGTTGTAGGGGCCTATGAAGAGGGAGCTTAGAGGGAGGGTTAATTCCAACATCGCTGTTTACACTGATCCTTCTCCTCCTCCTCCTCTTCCTCCTCCTCCTCCTCTTCCTCCTCCTCCTCCTCCTCTTCCTCCTCCTCCTCCTCCTCCTCCTCCTCCCTCCTCCTCCTCCTCCTCCTCCTCCTCCTCCTCCTCCCCCCCGTCCTCAGTATGCACGCCGGCCCCGATCCTCGATCCCGATCCTCGATCCTCGATCCTTGATCCTCGATCCTCGATCTTCCTCCTCCTCCTCCTCCTCCTCCTCCTCCTCCTCCTCCTCCTCCTCCTCCTCCTCCTCCTCCCCCTCCCGCACCCCCGTGTATCCGTGCATAGTCCACCCCTACCCTGGGGCGGGAGCAATCCACACCCATGTAGGCTGGCCCTCATTAAAAGGCCAGCGGGAGCAGGTCATCACCTCGGGACCAATATCCTCCCCAGGGCTGGCCGTGCGCGGGTCTGGAAAAGACGAAGAAAAGGAGAACGGTTGAGGACAGGTACGAGAAGATGGGGTTGAGGAGGCTTAGGATAAAAAGAATCGGCGGGAGAGGTAGGATAACAAGGAGGACCACGAGAAGGAGGAAGACAAGCTAAGGCAGGCTCGTAAGGGAGGACAGAGTAGGAGGAGGAGGAGGAGGAGGAGGAGGAGGAGGAGGAAGGGATAATGAGAAGGACGGCGTGACTCAGCAGACGGTAAAACAATTCCATGTCATTGCGTTACGGTTCATCACAACGCCACTGTTGTGTCACTGTCAGTGGCCTGTGAGTTGGACACACCGTCTGAAAGGCACTCCATCAACATGTTCAAATACAACGAGTCGCTCATTTGGCTATTGCTAACGTGGCCCGCTGCATTTCTCAGGTCGTTCCTCACGATGCCACTTCTGGGTCGGACTATCTTCGGTGCGTTGACAATATGCAGTGAAGCCACTATTGGCTGTTTGCATGAAGTGCCAAGCGCTGTACAAGCTTCGTCTGTTTCACTCCTGGCCAGAACAAGCGCGCATGAGCCCTCCAGCATTTCTCCATGATGCTCGAAAAAAAGGGTTGACTGACATCTGAAGGTCGCGCCAGGCTTGCAGCGGAGAGTGCGGCTCAGAGAGGTGACGCCCGCGTTGAGGCGAGCGAACAAGTCCTGCTGCGCGGGGGCGAACGTAGTGAACCTGGTGCCAGCACAGAAGAGCTCCGAGTACGTGCCGGAGGACTCGGCAACGGTGAGGGAGACCGGGTCGAACCTCTGGAGGCCTCCCAAAGTGGGCCAAAACAGACGGGCCTGGAAGATCGCACCGCATCGCCGATGCACCCACCGGCGACGTCGAGACTGAGAAATTCGGACTCCGGCTCGCGCCGCACCGCATCGCTGATGTTCATCGGCGGTGCAGCGCGCTCCTCCCCATCCACAGCAAGCACAGTCGACAATGGGGAACCCGAAGGGTACCGATACCGCTACTCCCCAGGCCTCTCCCATCAGAATTTCGAGGCGAATCCAGCGGTTGCGACGAGGACCTCCCAGGAGGCCCAAAACGGGGAAAACGAGGGGAGGGTAGAGCTATAGTGGAGGCCAGTCCATAAGAAACCTGCCGCACGAAACCCAACCCCGAGACCCCAGGACGCCCACTGCTTGTTGGTGTGGGAACTTCTTCACGCCTCCCACAGCAAAACCATCGAAACCCAAGAGACCCAGGGCGCCCTGGAAGCAAGCGGAGGAGGAGGAGAAGGAGGAAGGGGGGGGGAGGAGGAGGAGGAGGAGGAGGAGGAGGAGGAGGAGGAGGAGGAGGAGGAGGAGGAGGAGGAGGAGGAGGAGGAGGAGGAGGTGTCTCTTGGCATGGGCCTCCTCTGCATGGGCACCTCGTCCTCCTCTGGGCTAAGCGGAGCCTGCCGCGAGGCAGCCGAGCGCACCGCCCCCCGTCGACCCCGAGCTCCGCGGGAGCGCCTCAGAGGGGCTCTGCGGGCACACGTCCCGGGGGCGCCCGCGAAGGGGGGCGTCCAAGAGCAGGGGATCGAACAATGGCACAAGCACAACAACTCGGAGGTCCCTCTGGCCCCACTCGGGAGCCCTGGAGCCTCACGAACAGCGGCTGCGAGGTGCCGCCCTCGGGCAGGGACGGCGGGGCGTCCGGGCCGCTGCTGCTGGGCGGTGCCAAAGGGGGCCACCACCAAAGGGGAGGGGGCGCGCCGGCTCTCTCTCTCTCTCTTTTTTTTCTCTCTCTCTCTCTCTCTCTCTCGGAGGAGGAGGAGGAGGAGGAGGAGGAGGAGGAGAGGAGGAGGAGGAGGAGGAGGAGGAGGAGGGGGAGGAGGAGGGAGGAGGGAGGAGGGGAGGAGGAGGAGGAGGAGGAGGAGGAGGGAGGAGGAGGGAGGGGAGGGAGGATGGCGGCCCCATCAGCGCCCCCCGAAGCGCCGCCGGGCCCTCACCAAAGGCTCGGCAGCGTCCCAGGGCCTCCTCGGCCCTCGACCCTCGAGCCTGGGCCGTCGTGGGCCAGAAGGCAAACGGCACCACCCCACCCACGGCGCCACGGGGCTCAGCGTATGCCGGGACACATGGCGTGAGCTGTTGCGTGGTGTGCGCTGCGGCCTCCGATGGGCCGTAGTAGCGCAGCGTAGAGGGCCATGATGGGTGGGGAGCGTCGTTTGCTTTTGGTCGGCATCGGGAGGCGCTGGCGATACCCCAAGTGTCGAGTGGGGGATCGACTACAGAATTGACTCACCCCAAAATTGAATTCCCCGTCGAATCTACGGAAAATACTTGGAACTCCAGTCGATTTACGAAGATTCAACGCATTCGTCGTAGATTCGACGGGGGAAAGAAACTCCAGGGTAAATCGATTCTGAGATCGATCCCCTGCTCGAAAGTGGTGGCCACCCATTGGAACTGCCTGATGCGCCGGTGGATCGCTGCTTCCCCTCCTGGGCCGGCCTCCCCCTGCAGCCTGCCGTGAGGCGGGGCGTCCGAGCTGCTGCCGTGGGGGCGGACGAAAAGGGAGACAGCAAAGGAGGGGTTCGCGAATCAGCTGACGCAGCTGTCTTCCCTGGCGCCAGGAGGCGCCAGGAGGCGCCGACGCGTAGGGTGATGGCATTGGGTAAGGAAGCCTTCGATGAGAAGTCCAGGGTCTGGCAGCCAGTGGAAAGCCCATCGTGAATTGGCCACGGATACCACCCAGGCCCTCATCAGAGAAAGAACGCCCTCCCGGGTCTGGAGCCTCCTGGGCACGCTCTTCCACGAGCGCCCCCACCGCATCGAGGAGAGCGCCAGGCGGCGGGGACGACGCCGGCTGCAGGCAGAGGAGTGTCGCAACGCCCCCTTTCCTGACCCCCAACCAGACGTCACCCGACACCTTGCCGTCGCTCGGACGTCCATTTCCCGTGCATGTTTCGGTTCCGTGCGTGTTTTTTTTGCTCGATGGTCCAGGATGGTCCTCGATGGCTCTCGCCGGGAAAAAATGCACACGTCCGAGCGACGCCAAGACACTGTGTTTCGTTTTAGTTTCGTGCGTGGCTTTTTCGCTAAATGATCAAAGATGCTCCTCCATTGTCCTCGCCGAAAGAAAAAATGCACACGTCCGAGCGATGCCAAGTGTTTCGCTCGCAGTGCGCGGCCCCAGAGCTCCCGAAAAAGCCCTTCCCTCCCAGAGGGGCCGCCCCCCCCCCCTCCCCGGAAGCCCGGCGCTGCACGGCCGCGGGGCCCAGCGAGGCCCCCCCCCGAAGGGCCCCAAGCCGGCGAACAGCCTCCGCCTCGACTTGGCTTAGTCAAGGGGCCCAAGGACACGCAAATAAATGCACACACATAAAATCAATCCCCATATTTTCCCATATTTTCAGGGCTTCTGTCTCCCCGCCCAATTCCCATATTTTCCAATATTTTCGGGGGAATCGACGATTGATTGTGTCTGTGTGTTTTTCCCCTCCTGACTTAGGTCGGGCATGACCCCCTCCAGGCGGCTTTTCTCGGCGAAGAATCAAAACAGTCAAAAACAGTACCTTGAAGCAAAAAACAGCCATGCCAGAAACACATGCTGTTCCTGGCTGTTGCTATGTCTGACGCCTCCTCCTGTGGAGGGGCATGCTCGACTGGAGACTCGGCTCGGGGCACCGGACGTCTGGGCTCCGTCCGGCCCGCTGCTGGACGAGCTCCCCGTGCGGCGAGAGCCCCTGCCATCCGAGCTGCCGCAGACGGCCGGCGGCGGCGCGCGCGGGCCGCCGCCGCGCGGGGGGCGGCCTCCCTTCGGGGGGCACGGGGGGGGCCCCTCGGACAGGGCGGGAGCGACGTCGCGACGACGCTGGCTCGTGGTGCGCCCCGGGGATCTCCGAGCGGGGAGACGAGTGAGGCTCGGGTGCGGAGGACCCACGTTGGCCCGAGGGGGGGCCAGCACAAAAACGACGAGGCCCGCTCCGAAGTGCGACGCGGGCCCCCGCTGCAGACATCCCACGAAGACGGGACCGTCAGAATCCAGGACGCGCTCGTCAAGAAAACGTCGGAAAACCCGAGTCCCGGCTTACTCGAGTCCTACATTTCGCCGATCCAAAGAAGCATCTCACGGAGCAACCGGTGCGGCACATCCTGGAAGCCTTGGGAACATCTCGGAGCGTATCGTTACCATGACCTCTCGGTCCTGTCGCGGGGACGGCGAGCGACCGCAAGCACGTCGAAGACACACCCTGGTGCGAACGTCTTGCGCATGCCAGAACTTGTCCGAACACCAGAGCCACCTTCATGTTGGCTGTGGCCGATGTGGCGTCCCAGGACTGCCAAATCGACCATACAACCACAACCGAAGGGGTCGTGTCGGGGTCCGTGGGTTCTCCCCCGAGGGGCCCTCCCGAAAAAAAAATATCCCGGCAAAGCAACCTAACAGCGATGTGTAGAAGCATATCTGAAAGCATTCCCCTTAAGATTCAGATGAAAATCCAGTTGTCGAATTCTGCTGTTCTCGCAGTCGTAGTCGCATTCGCGATGACAGTCGCAGCGGCAACGGCAGTCGCAGTCACAGCCTCAGCCTCAGCCTGCCTCAGCCTCAGCCTCAGCCTGCCTCAGCCTCAGCCTGCCTCAGCCTCAGCCTCAGCCTGCTTCAGCCTCAGCCTCAGTCTGCCTTCAGCCTCGGCCTCAGCCTCAGCCTGCCTCAGCCTCAGCCTGCATCAGCCTCAGCCTCAGCCTCAGCCTGCCTCAGCATCAGCCTGCCTCAGCCTCAGCCTCAGCCTGCCTCAGCCTCAGCCTCAGTCTGCTTCAGCCTCAGCCTCAGTCTGCCTTCAGCCTCGGCCTCAGCCTCAGCCTGCCTCAGCCTCAGCCTGCCTCGGCCGCAGCATCAGCCTGCCTCAGCATTCAAAATGTGGCCCAGGAATGGAGTTCTGGGAACTAGAAGAACACGAAGTGGCCTACAGTTGGCTCCGGGCATTCAAAATCATGCCCAGGAATGGAGTTCTGGGAACTTGAAGAGCACGAAGTGGCCTACAGTTGGCTCCGGGCATCCAAAATGTGGCCCGGGAATGGAGTTCTGGGAAATCGAAGAGCACGAAGTGGCCTACAGTTGGCTCCGGGCATCCAAAATGTGGCCCGGGAATGGAGTTCTGGGAAATCGAAGAGCACGAAGTGGCCTACAGTTGGCTCCGGGCATCCAAAATGTGGCCCGGGAATGGAGTTCTGGGAGCACCAAGAGCGATTTTGCGAGGATGTCCGAAGCGATTTGGGCTTCGGCGGCACCGCCCCAGGTCCCGCCCCGACCCCCCTGTGGAGTCATCTGCTGCTCTCTTTTGAGACCACTAGAAACCTATCAGCAAGAGCTGTTAGGTAAAACACTGCGTTGCGGCTATGGTTCTCTGTGGCGCGCGCACGGATGGCTTTTTCCGAGCAGACGGGCTCGGAGGATCGCGCCACATCGGCGATGCACCGGCGATGCGGCCCGATGCGGAACCCGACTTCCGCCGCGCCGACGGCGCCGATGCGTCGGCGACGCCGGGTGGGGCGCGCTTGGACACATGTTTCGGCCTTCCCGGCCCGAGGCGTCGGCGACGCTGGGCGACCCGCACCTCCCTCCTTGCCCAAAATGGAGGAGGATGGGGAGGAGGAGGAGGAGGAGGAGGAGGAGGAGGAGGAGGAGGAGGAGGAGGAGGAGGAGGAGGAGGAGGGGGAGGAGGGGGACAAGGAGGAGGAGGAGGAGGGGGAGGTGGAGGAGGAGGAGGAGGAGGAATCGGTGGCCTGAATTGCAGCCGTTCGCCAGCATGCTGCCGCTCCTGAGAGCTCGGGGGAGCCCTCCCGGAGGTTCCGAGAGGGGGAGCCCTCCCGGAAGCCCCCGTCCCGTGGCTTCGAGGAGCCCTCCCGGAAGCCTGCGGGCCCCTGCGAGAAGGCCCCCACCCGCCCCCCGGGGGACCCCCCTGGGGACGGCCGCGCCCCTGGCGGCGCCCCCCCAAGAGCATCGCTCGGCCGATCCCCGATCCTCATCCCCACGGGCGTGGCCTGGGCCCCACTGGGCGAGCTCTCCCTCGCCCCCAGGCTGTGGATGGAGGCTGCTTGCACGAGGGGGGGGTGGGGGGAGGGGGGAAGGACTCTGAGAGGCAGGCTGCCCCTGACGAGGCGCCAGCACTGTCTTCAGACGAGGCCCGCGCCTTCTAAGAAGCAGGGACGCTTTTCTGACTGAGAGGCCCCCCCCCAACTCACCCTCACCCCTCTCTGCGCGTGGCCGACGATCTGCTGCTCCCTGCGGGCCTCGAGGGGTGTAGCCCCAACTGGGGTGGTGGGGATCGGGAGTGCACGAGCGCGCTCCACTGCTCGCAGAGTAGCTGCTCGCACATGACCTGGATGATCTGCCGCGGGGGACCTACGATACGTTACATCCTGACGCTTGCGAGTCGGCACTCGGCGTGCAGCGGAACGCGCTCGGTGAGGGAACGGGGATGCGGCGGGGCCTCTCAGAGACACCGTTGTGACACTTCCGCCGTAGGACCACCGGGGCCCGTGCGGACCTCCAGTGCTGCGACCGCAGGCGCAGGTCACTCCCAGATCCTCGTCAACGATCTTTTGCGCGAAGCGGCATCTGCATCAAATATGACCCAGGGATGCTGCCCTGGTACGGTGCATGAATAGAGCCTGCGGAGGAGGAGGAGGAGGAGGAGGAGGAGGAGGAGGAGGCGGAGGCGGAGGAGGAGGAGGATGGGGGATCGGTGAAGCGATGCCGGGCGCCCTCGTGCCCGCCGCCGGCGCTGGACTCGCACGCGGCGACGGCGGGCGTGCCGAGCCGCGCCGCCGGCGGCGCGTGCCCGCGCGGCGGCCCGCCCGGCGGCTTCCTTGCCGCGGCAGCCCGCGGGGCGGCCTCGGGGCCCGGTGGGCAGCGGCCTCGCCGGGCCTCGGCCTCTGCGGAGGAGCGGGGAGCGAAGGAGGAGCGAGGAGCGGGGAGCGAGGAGGAGCCCGCGAGGAACGAGGAGGAGCCGAGAGGAAGGGTGATGAGGAGGGGCGAGGAGGGGCGAGGAGGAGGAGCGAGGGGGACAGGGACAAGCTAGGTGCGCTCGTGTCACGTATGACGTCCTACCCTCCCTCCCATTTCTTATCATGGCGTGGATCTCCTCTCTATTCGCACAGTCGGATGTCGAGCAGGGTGACGATCGCGAGAAGGTACACGATGCATGGTTGAGCACGGCATGGCATGGCGTAGAAGAGCACGGCAGAACGTCGCATGCCATAGCATGGCGTGGGTATGGCGCAATGAAACACTGCATCACAAAACATTGCAACGGAAAAAATGGCATCGCACAGCGGCGCAGAACAGAACACCGCAGAGCAGGCGCCAGGTTCCTGAGAGGGTAAATTGATCGTCTTCGAGAGGTATAGGCCGGTCTGGACTCGTGGCTCCATGTCTAGCTCTTGGGCTCCCCGAAAGACTCCACACACGGTGGGGCTGATGGAGAACACCCGCTGGCTCTGCTTCCAATATCGCCTTCTCAGAGCAGAGGCGGGGCTCTCGCTTGATACTTTCTCTGACAGCGACGACGCCTCAAAGGGTGGGGGGCTCTTCCGGCCTAAGAAATCAACGAATCGACACCGAATGTGGAATCACTTCCGATAGATTTTTCGGAGAGGCATTTTCCAGATTTGGGGGCTCATTTGGAAGGAAGGCCAGCACTGCAGCGGGAGTAAAATTCGAAACGAACGGAAGCGCGGAAATGAGGCCAACGCTGCAGCGGGAGCACGATTCGGAACGAGCGGAAGCCCGAAAATGAAGCCAGTGCTTCAGCGGGAACAGCATTTGGAAAACAATCCTGGCGAGAACAAGTAGAAAGCCGTACGTACGCGGAGGGGGGCTGGATATCTTCCAGACGTCATCAGGGGAGAGAGGAGAATAGCATTCATAGTGTAATTGTTGAGGACGAGGAAGACAAGGAGAAGGACGAGGAGCGCAGGTAACCCCAAAGGACGGGGACGAAACGGGCAAGAGCACTCCAGGGGGACGGAACCGATCCACCCTCAGTGACTGAGCGGGACGGGCAGGCCCGGCCGACGTCGCTGGAGCTGCGCCAGGCGAGCTGCAGCACGACGCAGGAGCTGCCTGCCTGCGAGACCTCCCTCCCCATCGGTGGCTGTGAGACAACATGCCCAAGATATACAGCCATCGGCGCGAGCTGGGGCTGCAGGAGGCGGAGGAGGAGGAGCAGGAGGAGGAATGAGGATCGAGGATCGAGGAGCGAGGAGGAGGAGGAGGATGAGGAGGAGGAGCAGGAGGAGTTGGAGGAGGAGGAGGAGGAGGAGCTGGAGGAGGAGAATGAGGACGAGGAGGAGGAGGAGGAGGAGGAGGAGCGAGGAGCGAGGAGCGAGGAGCGAGCATGGAGGGCGGGGAAGGACGGAGGCACGAGCAGAGCCAGGGGCGGCTGGGAAAGACGGGGGACGACGCGGGAGAAGAGGCAGAGCGGGCAGACGAGCAGAAGTGGAGAGAGCAAACAGCATGGCCACCCCCAAGAGCAATCTTACAAAACAAACAGCTTTGCCTGAACTGGGACAACTTTGAAGGCATTATTAACTCGACTCCTGTTCCAACAAGAGCGTCACTTCACTTGGGCCAGATTCGCGCCGGGCGCGTCCGCCCCTGTTCCACACAGCTGGACACAAAAGCACTACAGTAGTATTTTGGGAATTTGGCTGCACGCAGTCAAAGGCTTGCTCAGAAAAACGACTGCCCTCCTGTCGGGCTCCAAGAGAACGGTCGACGAGCAAACGGCTGCCAGCATGCCAACGCGCCCGGACAAACGACCCGAGGTACACCAAGCATTACACAGGGTCCGAATCACCCAGACGATCGTGCAAGGGGGGCCAACCTCTGAGGACGCAGTAAAATCATCCTAGACTGCATGTCCTGGGTCGGCGTCACTTCCAGATGCAAGCGCAGGGCCAGACGCAACATGATATCCCAATAACTGTGATTGCATGTGTCTCTCAGGAAAGTCTCGGTGTTCGCCTGGATCTCGCCCGAGCCGAACGCGGGGACACTGGGCGGGGACCGCAGCAGCCTCATGCTCACGCGCACGTGGTAACACATTGTGTGTGTTGCACCCGCGGTCCCGTTCCCAGAGACACGCGCGCTCGCCAGCGCCGCCCGCGGCGTCTATCGGGTCGTGTACCTCTTGGGGCGCTCTGGAATGGAGGGCCGCCAAAATAATTGCCACTCTCGTCGCGAGGCGGAGATGCCGCGCGCGAACAGCGAGGCCAGCGCGCCACGGAGGTCATGGAGGAGCTCGCAGTACGCTGGATTGCGGGGAGCCTCGGCGAAGAGCTGCAGGGCACGAGATTCTCGCGATTCGGCGTACTTGAAGGGGCCCTGGGAACACACACACACACAGACACACACACACACACACACACATATACATATATATATATATACATACATACACACAAATAGCAGGATCCCCATATTTTCCCGTATCTTCTGGGCTTCTGTCTTCCCCCTAGCTTCCCATATTTTCCATATCTTCCGGGGAATCGACGGTGACTTGTGTCTGTGTGTTTTTGCTCCCTCCGGAGTACTTCGGGGCAAGCAGCGCCGGGCGACGCGGCTCGCGAGCGCGCGAAGGCACGCGCGCCATGCCGCAGCACAGACCTGAAGAGGCCAGGCTTCAGGGCCCGGAATTCCCAGGCGCGCCGACGGGTCTCAGTGGCAGGGCCCCCCCCAGATTGTCGCGCCCGAGTCCTTCCCCGCCCAGATCCAAGTACAGTCGGGCTTGATTGGAGAGGACACGCGAGAGGACAAGAGACCCTTCCGAGGGCCACGTTGCCACAGGAATGTGGGGGTCGTGGGTCGCGAAACACAGGACGCGAGGGCACCCTTGACTTGGCGGGGTCGAACTGCTAATCCGGGCCGACTGTATTTGCCGCGCCCCCCCGCGACGATATCAGGCAGAGCAGGCCCACGTTGCAGCGGGAGCGCGTCGAACCCCAGGCGTTCTTTACCCTTCACCGCCGCGACCGTTGGCACCTGGGCAAGTTGCGGGCGCGGCCAGCCAGTCTCTCAGCAAGCTCGGGGACGAGGGCGAGAGAAAACTGGGGGGCCCCACCGCGCCGGCCGAAGATCTTCGGCAGCGGCTTCTGCACTGCCAGTCGACCGAGGAAGGCGAGAGCTCGGCGCGCGAGGGATCGGGCCGACGGCCGCCGCGCCCGGCGCTCCCGGGAGCGGGCGCTCCTGCTCGACGCCCCCAGGGACTCGGGGCGAGCGCCCCCGAACGCCCCCGAAGGAGACGGAGACCTGCGAGAGAGCGTTCTGATAGGGGGGCCCGGCAGCAGCGGCGCCTTCGCCGCCGGCGCCAGCCGCGTCGGAATTCCACGAGGCGAGCGGAAGCAGCAGCGACGAGAAGGCAGCTTTGAACCTCGAGCAACAGAATTCGTGCTCGGACCCTCCGGCGATGGCGCAAGCGCCGAGCTGAATCAAATCGCCTTTCGAATTCGCTGGCCAGGCGGGCCAGAGGCGCGCTGATCTCTCCGGCGACATGTGCACGATATTCTGGTTCCCGCGCGAGCGGCGGCCCCTGTGGGCCCTGGAGCCAGCTCCCGTCAGAGATGCCGTGTCTCTTGGGCGCAAGCCCGGGGGCCTCCGGAATCTTCCAGGAGCGGCCCAGCGAGTCGACGAACACCATGGCAGGCCCTGCGGCCGGAAGCCGACGGCGCCCCGAGGCGGCCTATAAGACTGTCTCGCGATGGCCCCGGATGCCCCCCACGCGCTCCATCGAGGCGTCCAACGAGCGCCCCAAGAAGCAAAACACACAACTGTCCATCCGGTTCTTGGAGGCTTTGAGCCTTCTCGTCGCTTCGGCTTCCCGACGCTCCAGGAGGGCCCGAGAGGCCTCCAAGATCGTCCCCGCACTGCCCAAGAGGCTCCCAAGAAGCCCCACGCTGGCCCGAGACAGCTCCAAAACGACCCAAGAGGTGGCCACGCGGCCCCAAGAAGGCCCCAAGAGGGGCTGGAGACGCTTCAGAATCGCACCCAAATCGCCCCAAGCCGCCCAAGATGGCCCCAAGACGGCCCAAGAGGCCGCTAAGACAGCCTAATAGGCTTTCAAAAAGGCCTCCCAAGAGGTCCCGACGCCACGAAAATCATTGATGTTCCTAACGTTCTTGAAGGTTTGCAACCTTCTCGCCTTTCCAATGCCCCGCTCCACGAGGGCCCAGGAGGCCTCCAAGACGGCCCCAGAGGCGCGCGAGAAGGCCCGCGAACGCCCCGCGACGAAATCAAGCGGAGCCCACGAGGGGCCCGAGACACCTGCAGACCGCCCCAAGCCGCCCAAGATGAGCCCCAAGACGGCACAGGGGGCCTCCAAGACGACCCAATAGGCTTCCAAGTGGCCTTCCAAGAGGGCCCTGGGAAACAAAAATAATGTATTTGTATCTGAGAGGGAGGGTGCCGAACGGTCATTCATTGTCCCTGGGTGCGTGGCTGAAGAGTCGATACGTGGTGAAGATTATGTTAATTGCGTTGTTGAGCTCTCATTTGTGAAGAATGACTATTTTTGATCCCCCCCGTCCGGTGCACATTGTTTTTCTCAATTGAAGTGCCCTTCCCGGGGCTCGCACCCTGTTTTTAATCAGGGAAAGTCTTGAACGTCAAACTGTGTCGTTGGCCCCCGGGTTACAAAAACAACGGCTCCCGCCTTAGACTTCCACACAATTTAGCCAGGACCCCCGCTCCCGCCCGAGACTTCCTTGCATTTAATTCAGGAATCGCGCTCTGGCTTGGGACTTCCTCACACTTTATTCAGGAACCGCTCTCCCGGCGCTCTGGAGTCGCGCTCTCGCTGGACACTTGCTTGCAATTTACTGCAGAATAGCGTCCTTGCGTGGGAAATTCTTGCAATTTGCTCAAGCGCCGCGCTC